AGGAAGAAAGGAAGAAAGGAAGAAAGGAAGAAAGGAAGAAAGGAAGAAAGGAAGAAAGGAAGAAAGGAAGAAAGGAAGAAAGGAAGAAAGGCAGGCAGGCAGGCAGGCAGGCAGGCAGGGAGGCAGGCAGGAAGGAAGGAAGGAAGGAAGGAAGGAAGGAAGGGATTTATACCCCGCCCTTCACTACCCAAAGGAGTCTTAGAGCAGCTTACAAACGCCTTTCCCTTCCCCTCCCCACAACAGACACCGTGTGAGCAATGCTTCCTCTAAGTTGTGGAGTCTTGTGAGCAAAAATTCGAGTTTGTGAGCTGCTGGCATTAAAGTTGTGAGTGAGCGATTTGGCTGCTGCATAAATTAGTTTGCTCTGGAGCCATCCTTCCTGAGCTAAGACAAAAACGTGTGAGCCGGAGGCTAATAAACTGTGAGCTAGCTCACACTCACTCAGCTTAGAGGGAACACTGCCTGTGAGGTAGGCGGGGCTGAGAGAGCTCTGACAGAAACGGCTCTTTTCAAGGACAGCTCTTGTCAGAACTATGGCTTGCCGAAGGTCATCCAGCAGCTGCAAGCGGAGGAGTGGGGAATCAAACCGGGTTCACCCATATTAGAGTCCGTGCACTGAACCAGACTGGCTCCACACAGTAATGAACCAAATCCACACAGTAACTCTTCCCCGACCTCCTGGTCTTATCTTCAGATTACGAAACAGTGCTTCAGCCGCAATCATCTATGCTGTGAACGTTGTCACGTTTAAAAACGACTTGTCACTTTGAGCAAGGACAGACCACAAAAAGCGATTAAAACAGTCCTTTGGAGACCAGAAACAGGCCTGATGCAATGGCAGAGCTACTATTTGAACAGGCGGTCTGGACATACGTGTGGTTTGTTGCGTAGGTCACAAAGAAACTCTTGAGCGTGTGCATTTTTGGAAAGGAAAAAAAATTATGAAGGTCTCAGGCAAAGGTCTTTCCCATCACCTTCTACATGATCCTTTTAACTGGAGATGCCGTGGATTTAACCTGGGACCTTCTGCATGCCAAGCAGAGGGTCTGCCACTGAGCCAGGGTCTCAGGTCAAGGTCTTCCCCATCACCTCCTGCCTGGTCCTTTCAACTGGAGATGCCGGGGATTGGACCAGGGACCTTCTGCCTGCCAAGCAGAGGCTCTGCCACTGAGCCAGGGTCTCAGGTCAAAGTTTTTCCCATCACCTCCTGCCTGGTCCTTTAAACTGGAGATGCCGGGGATTGAACCTGGGACCTTCTGCATGCCAAGCAGAGGCTCTGCCACTGAGCCAGGGTCTCAGGTCAAGGTCTTTCTCTTCATCTCCTGCCTGGTCCTTTAAACTGGAGATGCCGGGGATTGAACCAGGGACCTTCTGCATGCCAAGCAGAGGCTCTGCCACTGAGCCAGGGTCTCAGGTCAAAGTTTTTCCCATCACCTCCTGCCTGGTCCTTTTACCTGGAGATGCCGGGGATTGAACCTGGGACCTTCTGCAGGCCAAGCAGAGGCTCTGCCACTGAGCCAGGGTCTCAGGTCAAGGTCCTCCCCATGACCTCCTGCCTGGTCCTTTTACCTGGAGATGCCGGGGATTGAACCTGGGGCCTTCTGCATGCCAAGCAGAGGCTCTGCCACTGAGCCAGGGTCTCAGGTCAAGGTCTTTCTCATCACCTCCTGCCTGGTCCTTTTTAACTGGAGATGCCAGGGATTGAACCTGGGACCTCCTGCATGCCAAGCTGATGCTCTGCCACTGAGCCACTGCTTGTCAGCAACCTGGACAAAAAAATGTCCTGACCCTTACCCAAAGGCTGGGTTGGTGGAAATGGGCAGTGGAAGCTTTTTGGTGGCAGGGGGATAAGGAATATCCCATTAAGCCTCTACTAAAGAGGCAGGACCTTTTTCTCCAGGCCGGTTGCCAACCGTAATAAAAACTGTAACAAAGGTCATATAATTGCATTATGCTTTTAATATATATATATATATATAGTTTCAGCCATTTAAGAGGGCAAACCTGAACAACTCTGTCCGTATTTTACGTGCTGTTGAGTCGCTGCCGATTTATGGCGACTCTATGAATTAATGGAGAAGACTCTTGAGATGTTCCCTCTAAGCTGTGGAGTCTTGTGAGCAGAAATTCTACTTTGTGAGCTACTGTCATTAAAGGTGTGAGCAAGCGATTTGGCTGCTGCATAAATTAGTTTGCTCTGGAGCCCCATCCTTCCTGAGCTGAGACAAAACTGTGTGAGCCGGAGGCTAAAAATCTGTGAGCTGGCTCACACTAACTCAGCTTAGAGGGAACACTGCTGAAGGTGAGAGTCCCTTGGACTGCAAGAAGATCAAATCAGTCCATCCTAAAAGAAATCAACCCTGACTGTTCCCTGGAAGGCCAGATACTGAAACTGAAGCTCAAATACTTTGGCCACCCAATGAGAAGGGAGCACTCCCTGGAGGAGAAGACCCTGATGCTGGGAAAGATTGAAGGTCAAAGAAGAAGGGGACGGCAAAGGATGAGATGGTTGGACGGTATTATCGAGGCAACAAACATGGAATTGAGCCAACTTCAGAGGACGGTGGAAGACAGAAAGGCCTGGCGGGATCTGGTCCATGGGGTCGCAAAGAGTCGGACTCGACTGTGCGACTGAACAACAACAAAAATGAATTAATGACTTCTGAAAGGACCTGTTGTTACAACAGTCTTGCTCTGGTCTTGCAAAGAGCGGTCGGTTGCTTCCTCGATGGAGTCCATCCATCTCCTCTTGGATCGTCCTCTTTTCCTGCTGCCTTCCATTTTTCCTAGCCTTACTGTCTTTTCCAGTGACTGTTGCCTTTTCACGATGTCCTCGAAGGACGATATCCTCAGTTTAGATTCCGGTGGGGCAGCCGTGTCTGTCTGAAGCAGGAGAACAAAATTTGAGTCCAGGGGCATCCCGAAGACCAGCAAAGTTTAATTCTGGGGATAAGCTTTCGTGTGCATTTTCGCTTTCTAGGGAGAGTTCAGGCTTCACTTGATCCAGAAGCCACTGATTTGTCTTCTTGGCGATTCACGAGATGTGTAAACCTCTCCCCCAACCAGGGGTCATTTCCTGCAGAAGCACACAGGAGTGGAGTTCCGGCAGTAAAGAGCCCAGGGGGCGGGCACATGTAACAAGCCCCGCCCCCTGCTCCCAGCATCCCTCAGTCAGAGCAAGAAGCAGCCAGGTAAGCTGCAGAGCCCCTCCCTGGCCCCTGGCCCAAACCAGTCCAGTGGCACCTATAAGACCAAGTTTTCTTCAGGTACAAGCTCTCCCTCCTCATTGTTTTCGCACTTCTTCATTTTTGAATTTACTGGGAGGGGGCTCAGAGATGGAAGAAGGAAGAAGGGATAGGATTCATACCCTGCCCTTCACTTGGAGTCTCAGAGCGGCTTACAAGCTCCTTTCCCTTCCCCTCCCCACAACAGACACCCTGTGAGGCAGATGGGGCTGAGAGAGCTCTGACAGAAACAGCCCTTTTTCTAGGACAGCTCTGACAGAACTTTGGCTTGCTGAAGGTCATCCAGCAGCTGCAAGTGGAGGAGTGGGGAATCAAACCCGGTTCTCCCAGATTAGAGTCAACGCACTGAACCACTACACCAAACTGGCCCGGGCCTCTCTTAACCTCTGTGAGGGCCTGCCTGTCGGTTTCTTCATTCTCTAACTTTCACACCGTAATGGGGGATACTATGGTATGATAATAATCATATGGCAGTGGGTGTCGTATTGCCAAAGATTGTCTGGCAGCCTGAAACTCTAGGTCTTTTTGCAGCGAGCTGGGTTTGTTAGTTTGTTTATTTGGCTGAGAGAACTGTGACTGACCTGAGGTCACCCAGCTGGCTTCAAGTGGAGGAGCGTGGTATTGAACCCGGCTCCCAAGGTTCGAGTCTGTCGCTCTCAACTACTGCACCCGGCTGGCTCACAAAGTCCCATTATATTCAATGAGCTTACTCCTAGGAAAGTGTTCGTAGGACAGCCATAGTTTCCTATGGCTGAGAGCCAGTTTGGTGTAGTGGTTAAGTGCGCGGACTCTAACCTGGGAGAACCGGGTTTGATTCCCCACTCCTCCACATGCAGCTGCTGGTGTGAGCTTGGGTCAGTCACAAGCTCTGGCACAGCTGTCCTTGAAAAAGAGCCGTTTGTGTCAGAGTTCTCTCAGCCCCACCCACCTCACAGGGTGTCTGTTGTGGGGAGGGGAAGGGAAAGGAGTTTGTGAGCCGCTCTGAGACTCCAAGTGAAGGGCGGGGTATAAATCCAATCTCTTCTTCTTCTTCTTCTTCTTCCTAATTGGGAGGGGCAATCGGTCCCTGACTCGCTTCCGAAACTGATGAGAAATTCAAAGGGGGGGGGATGACGGCTGACAGCTCACCCACCCACCCACCGCCGCCCCCGAGAACTCTTGCGCCACCTAACACAGCGGCAGACAGGATGGACTGAAAGTGCCAGAAGTAGATTTTGACTCATCATGAGGAAGAAATGCCTAGGAAAGGGAAGGAGGGAGGGAAAGGAGCCCGTCCCATCTTGTGCTGCTAGTCTGCGTTTATTCGCTCGACATAGGGTTGCCAGCTCCAGACTGGAATATACCTGGAGATTGGGGGGGGTGGAGCCTCAGGGGGCCAGATTTGGGGCATAATGCCAGAGAGGCCCCCCTTCCAAAGCAGCCGTTTCCTCCAGGTGAACTGATCTCAATAGCACTCAAGACTTCTGTCTCCTTATACAGTTCTAATTACAATGATAAAGTATTTCTTTATATATTTATTTATTTATTTTTATATTCCGATTTCTATCCCGCCCTTCCCCGCCAGAGCGGACTCAGGGCGCTTCACACAAAATAAAATACAGATCAACAATCAAATCATTAAAACAGTTCGTTGAAACAATACAAGATTACATATTAAGTGCTAGCGGATGTTATTCCAATATCACAATGGTGGTGCTGCGTGAGTGTTCATTTCCAACACTGATCTTCCTCGACGCGCCACAGCCTGTTGATAAGTCACCAGGAGCCAGGCTCTACGGTTGTTACTAGCAGGGGTCATTTCCTGCAGGAGCGCACAGGAGCGGAGCTCCGGCAGTAAAGAGCCCAGGGGGCGGGCACATGCAACAAGCCCCGCCCCCTGCTCCCAGCAGCCCTCAGTCAGAGCAAGAAGCAGCCAGGGAAGCTGCAGAGCCCCCCCCCCCAGTTCCCCAGTCCAAAACAGTCCAGTGGCACCTTTAAGACCAAGTTTTATTCAGGCACAAGCTCTCCCTCCTCTGCGAGGACAGATCTGCGTGTCCGCCCACCCAATAGCTAGCAGTCCAAAACAGTCCAGTGGAGCCTGAGCGGTGGGTGTTGCCTTCTGACACACTTCCGGTGATGTCAAGGGGTGTGGCATATGCAAATAAGTTATGCTAATGAGTTATGCTAATGAGCTCCTGCACCTCTTTTTCTACGAAATGACCCCTGGCTAGTGATGGTAACTAGTGATGGTGGCAGCTCCTAATCAAAAGCCTGGTGGAAGAGCTCCATCTTGCAGGCCCTGCGGAACTGTAAGAGGTCCTGCAGGGCCCTGATCTCCTCCGGGAGCTCGTTCTAACAGGTAGGGGCCGCCACCGTGAAAGCCCTGGCCCTAGTTACAGCCAGCCTGGCATCCTTAGGGCCTGGGAGGGCCAATTGATTTTGATTCCCTGACCGTAGTGCCAGGGGTCGTTTCGTAGAAAAAGAGCTAGGGGAACTCATTAGCATAACCCATTAGCATATGCCACACCCCATGAGGGGCCTGGCGGTGGACCTGCAAGGCCGGCGGGAGTGCAAGGAAGCCCCGCGAAGGCCCTCCCTGGCCCCAGGCAGGCAGGGGTGGGGAGAGGCAGGGAGGACGCAACTCCTGGCCCCTCTTCTCCTGCCTCCTCCTGGCTGAATGAGGGCCGGAAGCGGGGCAGCCGGAAGCAGGGGGCGGGGCTTTGTCATGTGCCCTGGGAACTGCGATCCCCCGCGATCCCCCCCGAAATGACCTCTGCGTAGTGCTCTCTGGGGTATATATGGGGAAAGGCAGACTCTCAGGTAAGTCAGACCGCGGCCAACAATACACAATAATGGTTTTGCCACCGGGCATAAATAATATCCACATCAGTTGAATAGTGACCTAATAGTCCTTGAACGTACAAGTCTCTCTTTAGAATGGTGCAGCCACCAGCTCGCGATGCAGAGAGGTGTTTCAGATACAAAACAGACGGCACGGGCTCAGGAATTGCCACAGCGCGAACCGAAGGAGTGGCAACGGCACGCCTAGGTTGCTTCGCCGTTTCTTAAGGCTTCATCAGGCCGCTTTCCTCAGTGAGGGAGCCCACCAAGCTCGGGTAAGATTCAAAATGACGCGTCGCCTACAAATATATTCCAAACAGCTTTGAGGGCCAGGAATAAAACGTGCTAATCGATTAGAGGATGGTGCAGGAAAGGGATCAGCGTCGTGGTGTTGCCACCGCTTCTCTGGTCACATGACTCTGCATGTTTTTCAGCGTCTTTAAAAACCTGTGGCGCCTGTTTGACCAAAGATGACAAAACAACAGGAAGCCTCTGCCACAAAGCCTTTGGTGGAAGTGATCTGGGCGACACTTTCTTTTTGAAACTGCTGAGAGTCTCAGAGAGTTCACCCTGCAGAGGGACACGCAAACATTTCTTTTGAGCCACAGGGGGTCGAACAGGTTTGGCTGGTTTTTGACAACCTGCTAGGGGAGCAGGATGAACAGCAATAAAACCCCAGAGAGCCTCTATTAGGGTTGCCAACTCTGGCTTGGGAAATTCCTGGAGATTTGGGGGTGGAGCTTGGGGGGGGGACGAGGAGGGGGAAGCTCAACAGAGTATAACCCTATGCAATCCACTCTCCCCTTGGAGAAAATGATCCTGGAGAGGGATGTACTAAAACAAAAGCAAATGAATAGGGGGGCTGTCATTCCACTCTGGGACCTGTCATTCCAGTCCCTCAACACTGATTCCATTCCTAGGGACCGTCATTCCACTAGCAGGGCTGTCATGATCTGTGTAGGACTTGGAGACTCTGGGGCCTGGTGCAGCCTGGTCCCAGGAGAGACCTGCATGGCAGTGGAAAGCAGACGCAGCCTACAATCCCCATAAGGCTTAGCGACGGTTGTAGCCAATTGGTGTCCAGGGATTCTTTGAGGCGATTGTCACATACTTTGTGGGCTGTGGGAAACGGTGTTCTTTCCTCTCACGGAGCTAAACTGAAGGGGACGGTGTTCTTTTGCTCTTCTGTGGTCTGGTCTCACAGAGGGGACAGTCTGGTCTGAGGAGAAAGATCCCTCACTTGGCTTGGAGTGAGTGCAGGGAGGAGGCCAGGTATGGGAGGGCTGTGGTCCATGAAATAGTGGCTAGTTAAGTGCAATAGGTAGTCACGTTAGATTCGTTTATTTTGCCTGTTATATCTTTTAAAGCACCTTGTCTTGTATTCCTTGCCCCAGTACTGTGTTAATAAACCATTTGTTTAAGTGTTCTCTGCCTGGTCATCATGCCTATATTTCTCGGCTTAAAAGGGGGCATTTTGGTTGGGCTTGGGTGCAGATCAGCTCTGTCTCTCTCTCTCTCTGTACCACAACTGTCCCTGTTCATCTCCCTGTTCTTCTGACAGGCTGTCTCTCAGCAGCATTTTTATTAACCGAAAGAAAAGTAAGCTCATTCATTCGTACATTTGTTACAACAGAGCAAAAGATTTTGTAAGCTAGAAAAATACAGTGTAGTTCACAGAATGTTCCTTTACAGGCAAGATAATCTTTGAATGTTGCAAAAGTTATTCGCTCTCAGCAATTCATTGTGTTCTAAGAGGAATTTAGCAGTCTCGTGCAAACTCAGAAAACCTTGTTTCCTGC